TAGCAGCTTATGCATGGATCAGACCAACAGTGTTACGATATTCTGCAGATGAATCAGAGAACATTTAAAGCATTATGCAGAATGCTTACAACGAGATATGGTCTAGTAGAGAACCATGGGAGATATTGCAATGTTCACACTGAAGAAGGAATTGCGATGTTTCTTGAGATGGTTGGTCAGAATAAAACAATAAGAGATATTGATGTTATATATCAAAGATCATTGGATACAGTGGAAGAGGAAACTTGATGAAGTTTTGAGCGCTATTTTGAAGTTTGCAGCGGATACAAAAAAACCGGGAGAATGAGAGTTCACAAGGGTAAGCTCAGTTCTGAGAAATGATGATCGATATTGGCCTTATTTTAAAGATTTTATTGGCGCACATGATGAAACGCACATCCAAGTTCGTCCTCATACTACAAATACAGAAGCTTATAGAGGAAGAAAGTTGGAACCAACAATGAATGTCCTTGCAATATGCAACTTCGATATGAAATTCATATATGCATATGTTGGTGTACCAGGTAGAGCTCATGATACAAAGGTATTGACTCACTGTGCGAAGCATGAAGTTTCTTTTCCACATCCGCCAAATGGAAAGTATTATTTGGTCGACTCTAGATATCCCATAAAGACAGGATATCTTGGTCCGCATCGTCGAATTCGATATCACCTTGATTAGTTTGTTAGAGGAGGACCTCCAACAAACATGCGAGAGTTGTTTAACAGGAAACATTCATGACTACGATCAGTGAGTGAGAGAACTTTTGGAGTATGGAAAGCAAAATGGAGAATCTTAGATCGTAAGCATCCTAAGTATGGTTTGACTAAGTGGATTAAGATTTTGACGACGACCATGGTACTACACAACTTCATACGTGAATCACATCGAGAGGATTATGATTTTATACGTTGGGAAAGAACGGAAGATTATCATATTCATGGTGATGAAGAAGAAGATAACGGTGATAATGATGATGATGATGATGATAGTGGTGGTGGTGGTGGTGGATACACTCCATATGAACCTACAGGAAACAAAGCGGTAGAAGGGATACCTGATACTATTACAGATCTGGATATTAATGATAGTGGTAAAGGGATATAAAGGGAAGATATTTGCAAGCAAATAGGAGTAACAAATTGGTATAATTATATATGATATACAAAATGTGTTCCATTTCACCCAGCCAAAAAAAAAAAGGTCATTTCTGGTATAATGTTCAGGGGAGAGTTGTGATTGGAGGATTATATCTTGTGATATGAAGGGGTCTGGATACTATGAGATCAGGAAAGCTTATTTGGAACATAAATGCCCCATTGATACCAGAAACAATTACTTGAAAAAACAACATCTAAGGTGATTTCAACTTTGTACAAATCGAAGTAAAGTGACCCACCCAAAGGACCAACCCCTATGGATCTGCAGCAGATAGTACTTGATGATCTTAGAGTGTCAGCATTGTACAAAAATGTTGGAAATCAAAGTTAAAAGCTGATGAGGATGTATTTGGGCCTGAGGATGAGTCTTACGATAATTTAGGTGAATACTTGTTTACTCAAACTGATAAGGAAATAATCGAGCAATCTGAACACAAATTAACGATAGATTGAGGAGTACAAATAAAGAGGTATAGAAACATGAAGTAACGAAGATGACGCTGTACCTGAGATCGTACTCTGGAAAACTCATGAGGAGAAGGAAGACACGGAGAAGCCGAAAGATCTGTAGGGAAATTTTTTTTAATTTTTGAAGAAACGACAGAGAAACCTTCAACTTTAAGAGAGAGAGTTGAAAGAGTGTGAGGGAAAGAGGATGAACAGACTCAAGCGAGAGAGAATAAAAGCTCGCAGGCAGCACTTCCGGCCTGTCATTACTCAAGCTGTCGTGTGCCTTATTCGGGACATGTGTAGTCCATCCGGCCAACATGGCATATGCAGGAAAATCGCTAATAGTCCACATAATGGCCGCTTTAAGGTTGAAGTTTTGATCTAATGACACATCATATGCCTCAACTCCGTTATCACATAAGTCTTTTAACTCCTCGATCAGTGGTTGGAGGATAACATCAAGACTAGCTCATGGATGATTTGGTCC